CCCACTCGTGGCGTTGTGTGTGTGTGTGTGTGTGTGTGTGTGTGTGTGTCCAGCAGCCCTGAAGAGCCCTTCCCTTACCTCACCCCCTCCCCCATCACCCCTTCTTCCTTTTCTGCTCAGCGGAATCTGCTAACGTTTCCGAGAAGCCACTTACTACGGGCAGAGGAGGCGGGGACCCATGGCACAGTCCCAGCCAGTGCCTCCTGGGCCCTGGGCTCCGAGGATTCGAGACTGGGAATCAGTTTCTTCCCTGGGACTTTGTCTAGGGACGCTGGGGCGGTGGCGCACAAGACCAGTCTCTAGACTGCGATTTATTTTTTTCTCTTTTTTTAATGATAGATCGATCGGGTTGCCAGGTCTTCCAGGCAGGCAAAAAAAATGTATTTTCTTTCAAAGGTGAAGTGAGGCTTCCAGGTCGATGGCAACGGGGATGGAGAGACACACTTGGGGCAGAGGTTGCCTTCCCTGACCTGGGATCTGCTCAACGGGATACAGTGTCAGTAGGTTCTGACTTTCAGGGCTGGGTAGGCGTGCCTGTGGAAAGATATCTTTATAAATCATTTTGTGCGGGGAGGCGTAGGGGGGTGTGTGTGCGCGCGCGCGTTTTCTACAGCAGCCTGCTGGGAGAAAGAGCGATGAAAACAGGATTGAATTAGCTTTCTCAAAGAGAAACAGGAAATTTCCACCTAGGGAAGAAATTGAAAGATTACGACGTTGAGGCAGGGTGGATTTCTGGATTTCGGCCTTAAAAAAGGACATCGCTCTGCAGTGTAAACATGAGTGATGGGCATTTGCAGCCATAGGGTTATTTACTTCCACTCCTTTTATTGTGAAATGATACTTTGTGGGAAAGACACAGAATTTCAAGCCCCAGGGTTTACTTTTTTGGGCCGCTTACTGAGCTTGTGAGATTTGCCCTGGGGCTTTGGACCTGAGGTTCTTTTAAGAGGTGCTGTCGAAGGAGGGAACCTGTCAGTTTCTGAGGCTCTCCACTGAAGAGTAAACTCGGTCACTTGGGGATAATTCTCAGTGCCACATCATGGCCATGTCACTTTCTCTTCCTTAATTGTTTACAGACAAAGGAAGAAGAGTTAACTGTACTAGGAGTGACAGCCTTTTTGATTAGATGCAGGCAACATCACTGTCTTTTCTTACCACCTTGAAGTCCCTCCTCAACTAAATTGTCTGTTGTATAGTCACTAAGATGTAAAATGAGTTCAATCAACCCTTTTTCTTATAGCTCTCTGACATCTGATTTCCATCTTATTAGGAAATAATCCATATGACATTCAGAATCATTAGAACCCACAGAATTTCTAGTCCATGTTAATTTTTCCTTAAGAAGTTAAATTAGAGCATAAAGAACCTAGTTGATTAAGACAAAGAAAAAATGATCAATACCTCTGAAGTTACAAAATTGAGTAATATAATTAACACGGATTTGATCAAATTCCCTACTGAAAGCTTTAAAGACGCAACCAAGAACAAACCAAAGTGCTATATTATACAGAGTGAGCTTATTGGATTTGTTATTTCTAGAAATGGTGCAAAATGAAGGCAAAAATAGAGTCAAGATGAACTGATAAAAGATGGCACCATATGGAATTACTACAGGAAATTAGGGTCACTTTCAGTGGTTAACATCATACAGCACTACCCAGAAAACATCACTTGGTAGTGGTGAGATACTAGGCTGGGTGATCCATTGGTTTAGTGAAGTATAGCAAGTTTTATTAATGGACAAAAAAGTTCTTCCCACCTGTGTAGTAGGAAAGGGATTTGGTATCCCTTTGCCTCTGCCCCTTAGAAAATAATATACACCAGGTTTTGCCACTCTGAGAGTCTGTTCAATATACCTAGGTTCTTGTTAGGTCTTCAGAAATAAAACCAAATAAAAGTCCTTGGTTTGTCTGAGGGGTCCCTAGGGGATTTTGCCTGTGAATTCATTGGCAAAACATGGTGTATATTATTCATTATTTTTTCTAATTCTCTTTCATCGCCCAACTATTTATTTGCCTTCTATTTTGTTTATGTACCTTTTTCAGTCTTGCAAGCATTTTGTAATCTGTTGCCTTTAGTCTATGCTATCTGTGTTTTTTATTGCTTTTTTTGGCAGTCCTGGGATTTTTTTGTTTCAGTTTAAATTCAGAAAAAGACTATCTGAGTCTCTTATTAAATATTACACTAAACACCCTGAGAACTCACCAAACACTAAGTGGTGGTATCACATGCAGATGTAAGTAGGTAGTGCCATTGAGAAGTTTAAAGGTAGGCTTGAATTACAGGAGGCAGAGAAGATACCTGGTTGATACCAGCCAATAACCAATACATTTTTGGACTATTCACAACTGATCTTATAATTTGAGGAGAAAAAAGTAGAGATGTTTATACTTTGAAATTAACAAATTTCATACTTCATATAATTCATATAATTACTTCAAAACCAGAACTGATGAAAAATTTTGGTTTACTTAGTGGTAATATAGAAATCTACACGTCTATCTTTTCCACAATTGCCACTCCAATTTTTCCAAACAATAGAAGCCTCTGGAAACGATAGATAGGCAATAATATGAAGAAAATAAACTAAAAAATAATTTAGTTTAAATAGTACTGGTAGACTTTATTTTTTCTCATTAAATAAGATTCTGATAAAAACCAATTACACTGTTACAAAAATGGAAGAATACAGCTACAAGTTTTTATGCATTATGTAGCTAAAAATAGGGTCAAAAGTAGAGTTTCAAAGTAGAATTAAAAAGAACTAGAACTACAATTAAAACATGTACAAAATACAAGGAAGCATATCAGACATAGGTTGGAGTGATAAGAAAGCCAGACAAAATGCACAATGAAACAATAGAAAAAAAGCAGTTCCCTAAAAATGTATCAGCATCAGAGTGACTGATGGTCTAATTTGACATGGTCTTGACTTTTTGTTCCAGTAAACTCATGTGAATAAAAATAAATGAAATCAATCAATCAATCAATCAACCAACCAATCAATGTGTTGTGTTTTGTATGTAGTAGATGCTTACTAAGTTTATTGGTTGATCAACTCATGAAGAATTCTTCCCACAAGGTCAGAGAGCCCACCCACGGGTCCTTTACCAGGAACAACACTTTTGCTGATGATGTGCTTTCTATGGTATGTTTTTGCTCAAAAAAACACTGATATCCAAGTCCCCTTCTTGCAGAAGCATTAAACTAGACAAGGTTACACAGTACATGAAACATCTGCTTTTAGACATTTGGGCAACACGACACACAAAGCTGTGAACCCTGAGAGAAAGGAAATAAACAAGGTGAGTCCCATGATTGTCCCAGTTCACTACATGAAATTGGTTTTCAGACTGTAGCACAGAAAGAAGGAAACCCCAAAAGAGCCCCACAATCTTCCTGAGTTGAGAAGACAGAAACTAGAGTTTGAGAGGCTGAGGCAGCTGGAATTTGTGGTCTAGAGTACCAGAGAGAAGGAAAGTGCATAGAGAGTATGCCAGGGACCTGCAGGTCCATTTGTGGTTGATACTGTTGCGCCATTGGGTGAGAACAGACATACCTAAGGCCAGGGAAAGAACTCATGGAAAGCACCATGTCAAAAAATTCTTGGTCCTCACACAGGGCTAGAAATAATTTGTGTTCCCCTAGCCGAAGGGGAACGACCTCATCACATGTGAAATGTTGGTAGGCTCCTTAGAAGGGTTTTGTCTTCGTAGTGGGTCTAAATTAGCTTTAAAGTTGCTCTGGATTTACCCTAACAGAGCTTAAAAGCAAGATTTAAAAGGATCCAACTGGTTTCAACCTAGCAACATAAAATTATCACTGACTGCCATTCGTTTTAAAAAAATTGCCACACTTGCAAAGAAGGAGTTTATACAGGCCTTTTTTTTTTTTTGAAGTTGTTTTGATTGCTGTCGGAAGTAGACTATTGTCAAATCGGAATGTGTATTCTAGGATGTAGTAATAACTGAGTTTTGCCAGAGTAGGAGATGTTAAAGCAAAGATAGGTGGAGTATTTGAGAAAGAAGAAACAATGGAACAAATGTTCACAGTTTGTGGGTCAGAAGTTCTGAGTGCTTTAGAGAGAGCTAAGAGAGGGAGGGCTCTGCCTGGGCAGGTCTGCAGGGGCCCAGTGTCCAAAGGGTCTGAGATGCACTTGTAAGGACTTGTTAGCTCTTTATAGACCCCACATTCTAGGTACTGCATTTGTTGTTTAAAGATCTCCACTGCAACTTTTTATCATGTAAATACTAATTAGTTAAGGTTTATTTCAGAAATCCCAGATTTCAAATGATCAGAGTACCATTGTTGTGGAGTTTTTTGACATTTAAAAAAAAATTGACATTGTGTTTTAAGCAATTCAGTAAATAGACTCAATTTTTGTAGTAGTGAGGAAAGGTCAAAAAGAAAGAAAAAAACTAAATTTTCTTTAAAACAGAATGTGTTTGTATAACGATGAATAGGATATGATAAATTTTAAATCTGAAGCCTGTTTAAGCAATATCTAAAATAGCTACCTATTCCAAAAATATTCTGAGAATGCACCATTATATGAAATGTAGTGAAGATAGACCGAATGGTAAATAATACTGTTTTTTTTAATGGTCAGTATATTTTTATAAAAAATTCAGAAAAGTAGTTAGATTTAACACAAAATTATTTTGGTCCTCACC